GTGCATCCCTTCCAAACAGTCTTCCCAAGTTGGTCCAGCCAGCAGAAGGTCATCTACATACTGGAGGAGTATGAACCCATGCTGGTCAGCTGAGAAGGCTTTTAGGACAGATGCCAAAGCAGTTCCAAAAATGGTGGGTGAATTTTTGAAACCGCATGGCAATAGAGTCCAAATTAGTTGCCCCTTTTCTCCAGTATTGGAATATTTCCATTGGAAGGCAAAAATAGGCTGGCTCTGTGGACCCAGATGGATGCAGAAGAATGCATCTTTAAGATCTAGGCAGGTAAAAAACTTTACCTCAGCTGGGACAAAGCCTAAAAGCATGTATGAATTTGGGACTATGGGGTGCAAAATGACAATTGCTGAATTACTGCCTGGAGGTCGTGAACTGGCCCGAAATCCTCAGTCCCTGCTTTCTGGACTGGTAATAAGGAGGTGTTCCAGGATGACTGACAAGGTCAGAGGATCCCATATTTTAAGAGTCTGTCAAAGACTCTTTTGAATTCTGACTGGGGTCTTGTGAAGTACTGTTTTTGGCTGATGGGGAAGACTCCTGGCTTTAGTTCCACCACTACTGGGGGCACATTTTGAGCCAGACCCTGAGTGTTATCTTCTGCCCATATACCTGGAATCTTGAGGGGAAGCTCAGGAATCTCAGGAGACCTTCCCTCAGCGGCACAGAGCCACCATTCCTATTCTTGTGTGACCATGAGGATTAGAGTCTTTGCCTCAGGTCCTCTCAACTTTCAGGCTGCTGTGCCATCCAAATCAAAAGTTATCTGTGCCCTCACATAACAAGTCCATGCCCAGCAGGCCCACAGTGCAATCAAGGAGCTAGAGAAGTTCATGCCTTACCTCATGACTCCCAAGATTGCATCATCTAGCTATTAAGAAGGGTCAGCAGACCCAGTCCCATGTAGCCCGATAATAGTTGTATGCCTTTTGGAAAGAGGACCCACAGGTTGGGTCACAACTGAATGTTCTGTGCCTGTGTCCACCTTGAGATCAACAGATGGCCCCCTATTATAATTTGGACCATGGGCTCCTGGGAACCCAGTAGAATGGAGCCTGGTTTGTCTTATTCCTCCTCATAGCCTTCCAGGCCTGCCAGATTGACAATGTTTTCCTCCCAGGGGCTGTCTCCTCTGAAGGTAGGCTGATATGCCTCTGGTCATGGGGGGCCTTTTGGGAGCCCCTGGTGCATTGGGAACATCCATTCTTCCAGTGCCCTTCCTGATGACAGTGTGTGTATTGATTTTGCCCTAGTTCCTCCCTAGGGCAGGGTGTCTTGGGGGCATTTGTTATCATCCTCAGGGATTGCCTCTACCTGGACTAGCTCACTGGGGCCCAGACTGTCCAGCAAGAGCTGCTGCAAGGAGGTCCACTTTCCTTTTCATCTTCCTCCTTTCTTTTTCATTAGCCTCCTGCCTAGTCTCCTGATCTAAATTGACAAAAACCTTTGTGGCTATCTCCAGAAGCTGGCTGGTGTTCATTCCAGCAAATCCCTCCAGTTTCTGTAATTTTCACCTATGTCACCCTGGACTGACCAACAAAAGTAGTATTGATCATCTGCTGACTTTCAGTGGCTTCTGGGTCAAAGGGGGTGTATAAATGGAAGGTCTCACACAAACGCTCATAGAACTGGCTGGGACTCTCATCTGGCCCTTGGAGGACTTCTGATGTTTTGCTCATGTTCCCAGCTTTTCCCCCTCCTTCCTTCATGCCTCCCAATACTGGTTCCTGATATTGCTCAAGTCACTGGTTATCTCAGTTATTACTGGGGTCCCAATGGGGTTCTTCCTCAGGGAAATGGGCCTGAGCATATGCTTGGGCATTTAGGGTACCCTCAGGGGCATGATCTTCTAACCACTTTAGACTGGCCAATATTATATGGCACTGCTCTTCAGTATCAAACGGAGTCAGAGGAAGCTGTCAACAGTCTGTCCAGGTGGATTTGTGAGTCTGGATAAGAGACTGCATCAAATCAATCAGAGCCTGAAGACTTTCTGTGAAAGAGAGTATGATGTTTCCAGTTGAGGAGATTGGTGGTGGTAAAGGGCTGGTAGACAAATGTTTGTCCTCCTCCTTGTATGTGGCCTTCCTGATCATGATACATCAGTCTCTGGGCTTCCCTCAAGGGCATCTGCAGGGCAGTGGGAGTCTGAGGAGATGACAGGTCCTCACAGAGACTGGATAGATGTTCCTGATTGAGTAGGGAATGTTAGGTGAATGCTGGTGGACTTGGAGTGAGTATGGAGTCCCTAGGACTCAGGGAGTCAGGGGAGTCAAGGCCCCAGAGGCTTCTGAACCAGATTTTACAGGTGTGACTGTCCCTCAAGCTTCCCCATCCAATGTCAGAGGCTGGGGTGCAGAGCTGGGCACTGGTGGCAGAGGTTGATAAAGTGGCACCTCCTCAGGCTCCCTGGCTAGTACAGGCTCCTTTCTCTCTACACTTGGAAGTTGTGGCCTCCATAGCTACCATAATTCCACAGGTCTCTTCCAGGCAAGGCCTTAGCCATGTGGGCTGATTGCTGACAGCATCCTGCCAGCAATCAACATAGGGAAATTTTTCTGGGTGTCCAGGCCTTCCTACAATTACCCTACAGACTTCATTAGCCACAGTTTTATACAGTGACTCTTCTGAAGGCCCCCCTACACCAAGAATGGGCCAATCTACTTCACAAGGGGCCTTAAGCTTGTTAGGAGTTAACTACATAGTCTCCATTAAATCCCTTTCTAAAGTTTTTAACCATACACTCCATGGGAGTGTTTTTACTCTGATTTCCACCTATTTCCTCCCAAGACACAGAGGGGAAGGGGTTTTGGAGGAGGGGTAAAGGGGGGGGCCCTCTTCTCCAACACACAAGGGAGAACAATACACGCCACTTATCAGTGACCTGGTGACTTATCGGTTCCTGGTTGCTCAACCAGGAACTGTGCATACACAAGCCCTCACTTGCTTCGTACATCTCTGGCTGCTCCCCTCATGGGATTTAGGATTTTCTTGGCCATAGTGAATCTGTATAAACCCCAGACTGGAGGCCCTGTTAGGACTCACCCTTGACCATATGAGTTTGCCACAGATCTGGGGATTGGGATTCTGCACTTACTTCATAGCTGGGCTGTGTCTCAGGTTTGCACTTTCACACAATCTCACACAGCACAGTACTTCAGGCCTGCTCCCTGAACCTGAGAGACATGGTTTCACCCCAAAAGGTGGTTACTAGAATGTCTCACTGGGAATTGATCAGACTCCCTTTCTGCTTCCTGAGGCAGGCCTGAATTTGAACCCAGGTTCTTATCAGTCTTGATGGGTGGTGCTCCCTTCATTGGTTCCTGCACCTCACTGGGTTCTGTTGCGCATCTGTGGTCCTCACCTCCATTTGTCAGGAGGATGAGTCCCTCCTCCAGATCAAGCTGTCTGTTGGCACCTGGCAGGATCACTTCTTCTGGTGGCCTGGGGACACACCCCGTGACAAGGGAGGTGAAAAACCACCATTTCTACAATCCCAGACAATTCCCCAAGAAATGTTATGGGAACCTGGAACTGAGATATGGGACACTGAGGTAATTCATCAGGAAGAAATATTTTATGTGCTGGCACAGACTCAGCGGACTCGTGTCCAAAGGCTGAGCTCTGAGAACAAAGGGTCTCACCTTATATACCCATGCAAACAAGTTACAGAAACAAAAGCAAGGTCTAACCCATATATGGTTACGTGCAATTCTATAGGCTACCTCACCTAGTGCTTTGTGACTTTCTCCCCCTGCCCCAACAGTGCTATGTGACCTTCTTCACATTTGGATTCCTTAAGTTTTATCTCTCTGCTATGCCATCTCTTTATCAGTACACATGCTTGTCTATTTCTTTTCTGGTCCTCCTCCCTGCTACAGTATGATTTATACCATCATTTCATGGGGTTGGGCTTTGAAAGATTGAAAATACAAATGGACAATGTCCAGACTATATGTAAGTCTGGACTATATGTCCAGACTTTTTTTTTTTTTTTTTTTGCAGTACTGGGGCTTGAATTCAGGGCCTTCACCATGAACCACTCTACCAGCCCTTTTTGCAAAGGGTTTTTTGAGATAGGGTCTCTCAAATTATTCACCCAGTCTGGCTTAAAAACATGATCTTCCTGATCTCTGCCTCTGAGTAGCTAGTATTACAGGTGTGCATCACCAGCGCCTGGCAAAAAATAGAACTTTTGACCCACAATCTGCCACAGACTGCCCAGAAACTCAACCCCTTATCTACAATAAGCAACCCAGGCAGCCAGCCTGCTGTAGGTAAGACTTGCAAGAAGCTGGATTGCAATCTGTAGCAATTTAGGGAGCTAAACAATAACTTCTGCAACAGTCAGCCCCAAATGATCAAGATTTACTTAGTAATAGCTTCACTAACTTTTATCTCCTCTTCCAAATTAGGACAAACCAGAGAAAGCCAAATATGCTTCTCTAACCAATCACAGGACACCCCAGTTCTTGTTAGCCGAGTCAGCTTCCCAGGTCAGCAGCCTCCACTAAGTGCACACTGGAAGCCTTTCCTTTTTTCCACTAAGAAGCCTTCCACTCTTCTGCCTGCCTTTGATCTCTGCCAAAACCAAGTGATGGCGACTCCTTTACTATAACACACTCTGAAAAAACAATCATGCTTTTCTCACATGGTTGGTCTTTATTCCCATAGCTTGTAAGAGGACCCAGCATAAAACCTTTACTTCTGATTGTGAACTGTACTTGTTATTTGATGAAACTGCTGTGGATGGATGGTTGCTTGTCCCATGGCTCTGAGGCAAACAAGACAGCCTTTCCATGGACGAAAATAAATGACCAAAATAAATTTGTATGTTTCCACATTTACCTACCCTTTTCTTTCTTCCTGTCTCTTGTCTATTTTTCCTTTCAAGTCCTAGAGGCCACATCTGGCTCCTAAAAACATCAAACGGGGCCTGTGCCAAATTGTTGCCTCAGAAGCCTGCCATCACCCTGGGTGAGGCAGAATGGCTCCCCCAACAAGTGCATTGTCTTCATTGCTGCTGCTGGTGACCATTGCAGGTAGGAGACCATTACCCTGCTGACACTCATGTCAAACTTGAGGTTCTCATCTGGCTCAGTCGACTCAGATTACTATGAAATGATGGGGCTGTCTTTGTTTTCTAATACGATTGTTTGTTTTTTCATTTAAATGGCAGACTTCATGCATGAGTGGTTTTCTGTAAAGTGTAATTTAAATTTTTTATCATGATTATTTTGTGGAAAAATAAAATCACATTTCATATATCCAAGAGGAAAAATATACTTGTATATTTAAGAGAATTGCATAGGAGATCTTTCTGAAAAAAAGAGTTTGTCACATGTAGTACAGCCATAACAAGACTGACCAGAGGGGAGAGACAGAGAGAGAGAGAGAGAGACAACCTTGTTCTCCTGCGTAGATTCTAGCTCAGGCATTTGGGTTTTTAGCAAGCACCTGCAGGTGACTTGGAAGCCCCTCAAGTTCTGGAAGCACTGTTTTAGATGACTCCAGGGCCACTGGAGAAAGTTCTGCCATTGGAAAGCATGGTTGTGCCCTGAGGATTCCTCACCCACCACATCCAGCCATTATTGCTGCTTAGTGTGCAAGGAAAAATGCCCTTTATTTCATGTTGAATGTATTCTCTACTCTGAAAACTACTGTCGTTAATGTTTTAGATTATGTCATTAATGTTTAGCCGTTTAATCAAATCCCCACTTTTTCATTCCTTTTTGTTGTCTTTTCCTTGTTTAGATATCCATATATCTAAAGAGCCACCATTTAAGCAGTTTTTTTTTTTTTTTTTTTTTTTTGCAAAACAAAGGGATGGCCTATCTTGGGAGGGATACTGAGGACTCTACATCCAGGTAGATTGAAAACCGCTTTAAGCTTCATGAGCAATCCCTGCTCTGGGATCATAGCCATTTTTCTACTCAATGGTTCCAGTGACACAATTGTAAAACTTGGCTCTTGAGCTTTCTGGTAGCAAAGGTCAGAACTGAAATATGATTTTTTTCTGAGTCACTTTGTCCAAAAGGAGGTGATCCAACTGTTGTTCGAGGTAGCCAGGGCATATGTTCATATTTAGGTGTGGAAGAAATTTTTAGCTTGGGCTTTCATTTAAAGGTAACTCAAATATATAGTCAGCTCGCTAAAGATATACAATGTTTTTGAGAGTAGAGTTAAGAGTTGGAGATTACCTATCTCCCCACTCTCCGTTCATCATCTCTTGATCTTGACAAGAAATGCTATTTTGATATGTCCACCTGGAGGGAATTCTTATTTTCTCCATATCTGAGATTAAGCTGTCCTCTAGAAAATAAAACTAAAAATATTCAGATGATTTAAAAAAAATAGATTTGTATTTGAGAAAATGCTATTTTACTCATTGGAAAAGGTGCATGTCTGGTATATCTAATTCCCATTAACTTGGATGAAATAGTCTTTCCATAGAGTCAATGTTCGACATTGTGTTATTTAAAATTTTATCTATTGCAATGATGGTGTGTACAGGTAAACATAAAGATGATTCTTATGCTGTATATAGCCATTTTCCCATATTTCCAGTTAAAAACAATCTGTGATAATCCTTCATATGAAAAAAAATAACATTTGTTAAGAGAACTATCAGTGATGAGTCCTAGCTAGAAAGGAATTCTCTCACCATTCTGAGGCCTGCAGCAAAACTTTCATACAATGCTTCTCAAATTAGATGTGGCCAGGGACCAGTTTGTTTTTGTGTAAATATGTTACAGATTCTTTTTGTTAAATACTAAGCAAAACAAACAAGAACACAGAAGAGTGATTTTGCACTTGAATTTCAGGTAATGACACATTAGTATAGAAGTTTCTGAGAAGCTCCATTTCATTGTTGTTTTGTCATGGATGCTAACCGAGTTCATGGCCCTGCATGGATCTGTGCCACTCTTCATGTAGTGCACTCTGCTGTCTGCAGTGTTACTGGCTGGAAACAGTTATAGTTCATTATTGAATCTGATTAAAACTAATTAGTTGTAGATATGCACTGAGGACAAGTTTTTTCTCCTTTGATATTTCTCTGTTAATTACTCTATCATCAAAATAGCCTGTGAGATTAAATCAATTAACAGCCATAAAATAGAGACACAATGCTCTTCTGTAAAATTGTGCAACTGAATTTTTCATGTAGAGCAAAGTATTGTAAGTTATATAAAGCAAAATATGTGAAGAAGACTTTCTATTAACTAAATGGGTTGAAATTATATGAAGAGATAGAATGGATTGATGGAAGGGTGCTTGGATAGGTGAGAGAATCTGTGGAAGGATGGGGAATATGGAGGGAGGGAGGGCTAGCTGGCTGGCTGGATGAGTGGATGGATAGGAGGAATGTTAAAAGGATGGATGGACAGGTAGATGGGTGGATGGATGAGTGGGTAGAGGGTAGGAGGGTAAATTGTATGGCAGAGTGGTGTGATGGATGACTTGTAGGTAAGCAGTGGTCTTTCTCTAGGAAATGCTGATCATTTATTGCCTTCCAGACTTGCAAGGGATGGATGAGGTTCCCTTTTCTAGACTTGCTTCCCAGCCACAGGCCTCTTTTGCTCATCCCAGGCTGCCTTGTTTGCAGGTGGGGCCTGTCAGCAGTGCAGTGAGGGGAGAATGTATTCCAATGCCATCATTTCATCTAACTTGGAAACCATTAGAATCACGCGGGTGTCTCAAACCTTCTCCCTGGGGGACTGCACAGCCGCTTGCTGTGACCTGCTCAGTTGTGACCTGGCCTGGTGGTTTGAAGGCAGCTGCTACCTGGTGAGCTGCCCACACAAGGAGAACTGTGAGCCCAAGATGGGCCCCGGAAGGTCTTATCTCACTTTTGTTCTCAGAGCTGCTCAGAGGCCCACCCAACTGCTGGACTATGGGGAGATGGTGCTCAACAGGGGTGCCCCCTCTGGAGTCTGGGGGGACTCACCTGAGAATATCAAGAAGGACTTGCCCTTTCTAGGCAAAGACGGGGTCCTGGAGGAGACAGCAGAGTACCCTGATGACTACCGGGAGCTGGAGTCGGACCTCCTCCAGCCCATCAGCAGACAGGACCCCAGAGGGAGTGCGGAGTACACCGACTGGAGCCTGCTGCCTGGCAGCGAGGGAGGTGTCAACGGCTCAGCTGCTGGACACAACCCTTCCACGTCCCCAGAGAAGCTCCTGGCCCCTGCGCCCCGCGGCCTGGACCCAGAGCTCCACGCACTGAACGAGTCGGCCTGGACCCCGGCCCCTGAGCACTCTCCTGAGGGCCGGGTGTTGCTTCCATCAGTGACCACTCCATCTTCAGGAGAGGGTCTGCAGAAAGAACAGGCGTTTCAGCTCCAAGAGCAGCAGAGCAACAGCTCTGGGAAGGAGGTGGGTGTTGGACGATGCGCGGGGGGGGGGGGGGGGGGGACGGGTGGAGGGGAGCAGGCGGGAGGGGGCCGAGCGCAGCCAGGCTGTCATTCCACCAGCATGAGCACCAGGAGGGCGCTCCCAAGGGCCCTTGCCTCCGCTGGCATCCACAAAGGTGACTGTTTTACAGAGCCATTCAGGAAACAAGACACTGTCCTCTGCTGTGCTTTATAACTAGGCTGTTAGAAGAAGGAATAGTTCTGCCTTCATAAGTCAGCTACCTGACTTAGCACTGCTAGCGATGCCTCTGCCCGTGGGGGAAGACTTCACAGAGGTCCCTGGAGCCAGCAGGCGCGACAGCAGCTCACCTGCGGATGGGGACTCTCCCACAGCTGGTCTCTTCCAAAGCTCGCAGGTGCTCAGGCTGCTAGAAGCTCATGGTGACCTGATGAGTCTGTTGGACGGGAGGAGGGATGGAAGCAAAGAATGTAGGCTTCATGAAGCCTTCCCTGAAAATCCCAGGAGAGAGGAATGGGAGGCCAGACTCAGTGGTCTGCAGCTCTCCTCCCAGCTGCTTGGCAGATGGAGGTAGGACAATTGCTGAGTCTGGGAGTTCAAGACCAGCCTGGGCAACATAGCGAGACCCTGTCTCAGACTAAAAAAATAAAAAAGCTGGAGGCGTATCTGTGTTGAGGACTGTGTGGAGGACAGTGTGACTGGAGTGCTCAGAGGCCACTCGGGAAATGACCAGGAGTTGACAGGGATCATGCTGGTCAGAGAAAGCTGGATAGAGTTGGAAATGAGTGACAAAGGGACATGGTGTCCAGTAACAGTGTTTCCACGGAAAATAGTGTTGAAGAGTCCTGTGCTTAGCTTAGAACAAGTGAAGAACTGATCCTATTGACAGTGCATTGTGATCTCAACCACAAAAAATTACTAAGAAAAGGCTAGAAGGTGTTTTTTATGTTTGTTTGGTTTTGGTACTGGGGTTTGAACTTGGGGCCTTTTGCTAGGCAAGCACTCTCAGCCCTTTTTGCTTTAGGTTATTTTAGATAGGGTGTTGTGCTTTTTGCTTGGGTCAGCATTGGCCACAATCTTCCTACCTTGCCTCCCGTGTGGCTGGGATTGCAGGCATGCACTGTCACACCTTGCTTGTTTGTTAAGATGTGGTCTCACTGACCACATTTTTTCAGGGCTGATCTCCAATTGGATTCTCTGGTCTCTTCCCAGTTTCCCAAGTGGCTGGGATTACAGGCATGAGCCACTGTGCCATCATGATATGGTCAGAAGGTTTTTCCCCCTGTTTTCTTATAGTTTTCTGTATTTAACATTGAATTATAGTGAAAAGAAATTTCAACTAAAAATAAACTAGAATTATTAAAGAGTAATGATATTCTTTACTCATATCAATAAATATTAGCATAATTTTCCTTCTTTCATGTTGCTAAGTCATTTATTTTCTAGCTTCTCTGAAGGGAACTATCTCAAAGGAAGTTCTATAAAATCTTTTGGCCTATTAGTTCGTTGAGGTTGGTTATGTTAAAATATGATTATCAAAAAAAGGTAAAATTGTGAACTAAACAGATATAAAATAAACATAGACATAAGAAATTTTGTTGTGCTCATTAATCACTGAGGGAGCTAGGTAAAGGTTGCAGTTCTGCAACAAGAGAATCAAACGGGCAAGAAAATGGAAGTGAAACTGGGTGCAGAGCTCACACCTATCATCCCAGCTACTGACAGGCAAAGATGAGGGGAATGACAGTTTGAGGCCAGCCCTGGCAAAAAGTTAGTAAGAACTCATCTCAAATAACAAGCCAGTGTGGTGGTGCATCCTGCAATCCCAGCTATGCGGGAGGCATACATGGGAGAATCTCAGTCCAAGGCTGGCCCTGTGCAAAAACATGATACCATATATGAAAACTAACTAAAGCAAAAAGGGCTGAGAGGCATGGCTCAGGTGGAAGAGCACATGTGTAACAAGTACAAGTCCCTGAGTTCAAACCCTAGTACTGCAGAACAATGAAAAATATTGAAACAACCCATCTATATATGAATATAATATAATGTACTGTACTGTAAATTGTTGGATATTAGGGGAGCATGGTGGTAGAGAAAGAGTAAGTAAGGAGGGGGTGGTTAATTTGAGTAAAGCACGATATATACAGACCTAATGTACCAAGGCGAAACCCCTTTGAGCTATCAATATACACTTGAGAAAACGAAGGACAGGAAGTTAAAATAGGCCTTTTCCGGGGGTGGGTACCAGTGGAGGGGGGTGGGCACAAGGAAAGGGCAAATGAGGGTGGATATGGTGGATGTGCTCACTATCCATATATGAAAATAAAAGAATGTTGAAATTGTTCTAAAAAGGGAGGAGGGAGACAATGGAGGGGTAAATCTAACTAAGACATACTGTAGGCACATCTGTAAATATGACAATATATCCCCTATGCAACTATCATATGCTAATAAAAATTTTCCAAAAAACCCTAGTACTGTAGGAAAAAAAATAAAGAAGAATATTGAAGTGAATGTGCAAATGGAGGCAAAACTGGTTTTCCAGGGACATTGGCAAGGTGTTCAATTTGTTTACAGACAAGAATTATTTTGCTTTGTTGTCAGTTACCTACAATTTATATCCTTGTAAATATATAGGCTTGAATATAAGAAAGCCTATAATCAAATAACATGGAGAGTATCTATAAATGGTGCGTTATTTTCTATTGAAATACAGAATTTGCCCTAACGTCCAGTTAAATTTGTAGATAATCCTTGAATAATTGTTCATAAACATCTATATAGTATAATAAGAATTATCATTTTATTCTGATAAAATGCAAAATTTGGAATAAATGACAGAAACTAAGAACTTTTCTCTCACAAAAAGTGTTTAAAATAATTCGGTCGATAAAAAGTATCTACAAAATTCAAAGCGAAAGAATCGTCTTTTCAACAAATGGTACAGAGACACTGGATATTATAGAGAAATTAAGCCTTTCCTTCTGAGGACTTGATATTTGAATCTGCTGGAATATGCTGGTGACAGACAAATTACAGGAAAAAAAGCCGTATCAGGTTTATCAGGTTTTATGTGACACGGAAGCCCCCTCAGATTGAAGACCCAAAGTCCCAGGTTGAATATCCATTCTTATGCTTAGGTTGGAGGATGCAGTCAGAAGTGTGTGTGAAAATGATTGGATGAAAAGGGGGCGTGGCCTGATCTAACAGGCTGAGGGGCCGGTCCGCGGCCTCCTGGCTTCTCTGAGCCCCTTGCTTCTCCTGGGTGTGGGGTTGGGCCCCTTCTAGAGCAGGATCCTTATTACCTATAATTGAACTAAGCAGGTCAGAGAATTTCCTATGGCCACCTCTTCCTCAGAAAAGGTAGGGGAAAGTTAATGTTTTTAAGGTTTTCTGGCAGGCTCTGGTTTCTGTGATTTATGTGGGAAAAAAGGAATTCTAATTCCCATAGCTTGCTTCTGGGGAGAATGAGCCAGAGACAGCAGGGCACCTGGTCAGAGAGAAGTGTTGCTTCCAGTCCTTCGCTTTAGGTATCATTTTCTGAGCACCAATATTATTCATGTGCAGAAGAATGGATTTTGAGCTCTACTTCATACCTTATAAGAAAAAAAAAAAACCTCAAAATGGGCCAAAGATGTAAATGAAAGACTTAAAACTCTAAACCAATTGGAAGAAAACACAGCAGTAAACATTTGTAACCTTGGGTTATAAAGGCAATGATTTTTGAACAGGCCATGAATAGTGTAGCAGAAAAGGAAAAAATGGTAAAATTGGCTTCATCAGAATTTAAAATTTTTGTGTTTCAAATGACAACATCAATAAAGGCAATCCATAGAACAGGATAAACTATTTGTAAATCATATACTGTAATATTATATACAGAAACATAAATAATCCTTACAAGTCAATAGTAAAGTAACCCAATTTAAAAATGGATAAAGGATCTGAATAGACATTTCTCTAAAGATGATGGACTATCCAATAAATGCATAAAGATGGTCAATATCATTCATTAATCTTGGGCAGGCCTGATGGTGCATGCCTATAATCCCAGCTATTCAGGAGGTACTGCCAAAAAAAAGGAGCCAAACCTAACCAAGGTATGGTTATTATAAGTATATATGGAAATACCACAATGAATCCCCCTGTACAATTATATATACTAATAAAATGCTTTGAGAAAAATATATAAAATTAACCTTTATGAAAAAGCAAATTAAATCCAAAATTAGATACTATTTCACATATGCTAAGATGACTAGAATAAAAAAATTGAAATAAGCTGGGCTCTGGGGGCTCACGCCTATAATCCTCACTACTTGGGAGGCTGAGATTGGGAGGATCACGGTTTGTCTGCCTAGGCAAATAATTCACCAGACCCCATTTCCAAAATGGACTGGAGCTCCAGTCACACTAAAAAAAAAAAAAAAAAATTAAAATAAGCCACCGCTGAGGGTGTGGCTCAATGGTAGAGCACTTTTGCCTAGGGGGCACTGAGTTTCTCCAGCAAGGGGGAGAAACAAAAAACAAATGAGTACAGTGGTGCAGCTACTTTGGAGAACAGTCTTGCAGGTCCTCAAAATTTTATATAGAGAGTTACTGTGTGACTCAGCAATTCCACCTCGAGGTGTTTACTCAAGAGAAATAAGAACGTAAGTCTATACGAAGACTGTCAAGCAAAAGTTCACTGCAGCATTATTCATGTAATAGTGCCAGGGAAAACAAGTCAAGGTGAAACTTGCAGAGGACAAAGGACATTTTATATCACTGTTCCCTTTAAGTGGACAAGACTGAACAGAGTCGCCCAAAGTGGGTTGTTTCAAAGTAAGAGTAAAGAAAACATAAGAGCTATTTGCATCTAGGCCCAGCTTAACTTGGAGGCTGAAATGGGACAGTGATGCCCAGTTGCTTCTGTAGAAGAGCCATTATCTTTTGCTGGGCATGTAGAATAGAACCTTCCACATTTAACAAAGTATGTTGGTGGTGAAGGTCATGAGTAGATTACTGAACAGTGAAGGTACAAATTGGAGATGCAGCATGGTGGGAAAGTGGACATTGTAGAGAGGAATAGTACAATTTTTTCTTCCCTCAGCCATTCCTCAGTGTCTTTATGGTCCTGACCCAAGATGCCTTAATTTCTGCAACTACTATCTACCTTCATTGGTGCTGGTGGTGGTAGTGGTGGGTGGTGGTGGTGGTGGTGGTGGTGGTGGTGGTGGTGGGGTGTGTGTGTGTGTGTGTGTGTGTATGTTCACTTATACTGATTGTCCAACTTCCAGTTACCATACCTTTTTTTCCCTTGCAGTTCTGGGGATTGAACTAGGGCCTTGAACGTGCTAGGCAAATGCTGTACCACTGAACTACATCCCTAGGCCAGCATTCATTCTTATAAGTAGTAGAGAAAACATTTGAAAGATGTGGGCTAAAGTTCCAGCGTTTTGCAATATTAGTCATGGTGTTTCAAATGTTACTGAAAAAAGCTTGTGACAATTGTGCTTCTTGAAGGGTTCATTTTTTTTTTTTTGCATAACAATTTATCTTTGTGATTGATCTCATAGGTTCTAATGCCTCCTCATGATCCTCCTCCCGCCAGCCTGGAATCCAGCCCAGCTACCATGGAGAAAAGCTCAGTTCTCACAGTCATCCAGCTGAGCACAGAACACAGCATCCCAACAATTCCCCCTAGCACTGTCCCTCCTGGATCCACCACACCTGAGGGACCTGTATCTCCTACTGCAGCTCTCAAGACAGGTAACTTTTGAAAAATACAATTGGAAGAAATGTGCTTAAGACACAGTGTAGAATACAGTGGTGACAACTTTTAAAGTTCATTCATTCCCTCTGGCCTTAATTTTGAGTATCTATCATATACCAGAAACAGTGCTATGCACTGGGAATAAAAGATGACCAGGACATTGTCTTTTCCTTCAGTGACTTTAGTCAAGGAGAGGTGACTAACAGGTAAATAGATGGATCTGATCTAATAGTAAGTGCTGCAAAAGGCTGCTTTGGGGGCAGAGGAGGGTTACCTGACCACTAGGGGAGGCTAGAAAAGTCTTTCCAGAGGTAATACTGGGATTGAGTGCGCCAACTAGAATGGACTTGGTCTGTTTTTCAGGTTGGGGAGGCAACATGTGTAATTATGGTAGTGACAGTTGTATTTACTGAATACTTCCAGAGTGCCAGGTGCTGTGCTCAGCACTCCCTGTTGTAGGGAAGTTCAAACTTTCACTCTGCAGGTTCAAGAATTTTAGTGTATGAAATAAAACTGACAATAGATGGGTTAAAAGGAAAAAAGAACATACAGACTTAATACTGTGCTGAAACACAGCAGCCATACCCCAAGTATGAGATGGAAAAAAGGTCAGAAATTTGAAGTTTAAATACCTTCTTCATAAAGAAGAGGAAAGTAGAGAATAGGCAATTTCTGAGGAATACTAAATTATTTTTAGGGCATATGAATGGGTCCAAGAGAACAGACAGTGGTCTGGGACAAAGTTCCTTTGGGCTGTAGATGTGATGTTTGAGTTTCAGTCTTCCTTCCTTTAGTAGGAGTTTAATCATCTCTGGTTAATGAAATCTCAGTAAGAAGACTGAGATTCTGTCTGGCAACTGTGTTCCTCTTTGGAGGATCCAGTCAGGTAGACAGAGAATTGTGCAGAAAACCTCTTCTTGCTCTGGGAAGTGAGAAGGATCTTGAATCGGAGGCAGGCCTCATAACATGTCAAACACCAGTCTTGGAGGGATTGTTTTCTGAGCCCCAGAACTATCCATCATTTCCTTCCTTGCCTGTGCCAGAGAACAGAAGTATAAGAGTTCATGTGACATTTTGGAAGTCCCAGAAGGAGGTCAGCATGGCTGGAAGTAATCATGTGAATGGAAAGGGAGTGGTAATATATGAGTCTAGAGTGGTAAGCAGGACAAGATTTGAAAAATCACCTGTTTTGTGCTATGAAATCTATGCTTTCATTGTGTGGATGTAGACTAGAGAGAATAAAATCCATTAAAATCCTATGGTGAGAAGTCACAGGAATCAGATTCAAGAGATATTAAAAGAGCAGAATCATTAAGATTTGATAAGTTGAATGTCAGGATGAAGGAAAAAGGACCCTAAGATATGAACTCATGGGACTGAAGATAAATGATTAGGAGTCATCAATATGATCGTTGAAGATATGGGGGGCATATGACATCATGCAGGGAGAGTGAAGGGTGAGCAGAGAGGACTGGGGGTAGAATATGGAGACATGATTACATGAGTAGCTGGAAGAGCAAAAGGAGCCTGCAAAGCTGCGAGGGTGGTGGTGCCAGAGAGGTGGGAAAGCATGGGATGAGGGAGTCCAAGAGAGGAGAGAGAACTCTCTAGGGGAGGAAAATCAGTTCCCCTATGCCTTTCAGAGTGCTAAGCTGTAAAACAAAACAAAACAAAATCAACAAGAAAAAACAAATAAACAAGTTTATTAACATGTATATCTTATAAACAGTTGGCCTTCCATAGCTGCAGGTTCTGTGTCTGTGGGTTTGCCAACCATGGTTGAAAATATTTGGAAAAAAATGCATGTGTGGTAAATATGTGTAGACTTCTTCTTTTTGTTATTATTCACTAAAAAATACAGTATAACATCTATTTGCATATCATTTGCATTGTATTAGGTATTATAAGTAATACAGAGATGATTTTTAGAGCTTGTGGGAGGATGTGCTAGGTTCTATGCAAATACTTCACCATTTTAGGACTTCAGTAGCTACAGATTGTGCTATCCATGAAGGTTCTAGAACCAATGCCCTATGGATTCCAAGGGACAACTTTTTAATGTGGGAGAAACGTAGGGAAGTGAGTAAATTTCAGATGGTAGCCTAGAACACTGACTAATAAAACAGCAATTAAAGAAAGAAAGGTGTGGGGAAGGCAAGGGATGGATGGCGGTCAGGAAAAGCAGGGTAAGCCAGTGGTGTGTTATGTAGATCAAAATCCTTGCCTTGTCTTCTAAGAGTCTCTTGTGACTTAGTTATCCTTCTCCTCCTGGGACGGAATGGGAAACTCCCTTACACATGGAGATTTCCTGTATAAATGTAAATTTCCTTCCAAAAGTATATTTGCTTTTTCTCAAAATAATCGTTATGCCAAAAGGCATACTTGCAGTGGCATATGTCTCCTACAGTCATATTCTGGAGTGGCATAGTCTGGTCTTCTATAGTTCCAAAAAGGAAGAAGTTTCTCAAAGTTCTATGTGTTGCAGAGGCCACAGTAAGGAATGAAAAGCTTGTTCAATTTTCTAATAAAGATGTTTTTAGAGTCTGAAATACCTAAGGGTTATGTTTCCTGACCTTTTCTGTGGTAATACATTTCGTACATTACCCTTTGTCAACCAACAAAAAAATTAACCTAGCTGAGAACAAATAAAATTATGTTTTTTGCAGAGCCAATTAGGATTTCAATCTGAGAAAATATAGATTCAAGCAGTTGTGCAAATGTGCTCCAAGGTTTTACGAAACAGCAAGTGTATTCATAGCTTTAAACCATAAGAGGTCATTAATCACTTGTTAGTCAGCAATTAACTCCAGTCAAAGTTAGGCTGCTTTATAAGAAAGGGATTGTTTACAGTTTCACTTTGGAAGTTTGGAGAAAGGAGTCCATTGTCCAGGAGGCCAGCAGAGGTTAATGTTTCAAAAGTCAACCCCAATCTGTGGGTGAGTGTGGCTACAGCACAGTTTAAAGGTTCAGCTGTAGACTTGTTAGAAATTTGGTTGACAGTGCTCTCTGACTCCATTTTGAGTGTCCTGAAGCAATGCTACTCAATTTTGATGTTTTTCTCTTGGCATCTTTACATTTATTCTGTGCCTCAACAGGAAAAGAAGATAATAATGGAAGAGAAGCTGTGTAGTATAGGGAAAAAGAAACTGCCTATGGAATTAGGATTCTTAGGTTCTTGTAGTAACTACTACTGACATAAAATAACCACTCTTCTTTAAAGAAGTAAGACAATAGTTTATTCTGAGCCAAATATAAATGAAAACGGCCTGGGAACATACCCTGAATAATGTGTTTCTCTGTGAAAGAGATTACATGAGTTTTTATAGCCACAGAGCAAAGTCACAAATCAATGCATTCACCAATTAATTGGTTGGGGCATTAGGTAGGAAGGCAGGCTACAGCAAAAGTCTACAGGTTTCAGATGTTACCTTACATTTGTAGCTTTAGGGTTAGTGGAGGCTAGAGGTCTGAACACACTCCAAGAGGTTTCCTAATAGTCACAAGAATGTTAGATCAGAGGTTAAAAAGTGAATGACTGTTTTTCTAAGATAGCCCAAAATAATTTTGGCTCTTGATCTACCACATTCCCTTTCTCCACAATCATGTTGTTCTGCTCAGCCAAGGTCAAAAGGTTGGCAGGATCTTTAATATAGATGTAGCTTCTTCAACAACTTCAGCTTCACACTGCTGCACCGGGTTAGGGGGATTAAATGAATGGACTGTTTTGAGGCGTTTGAAACAGTGCCTGGTTGTCTAGCAGTGTTCAAATACATTTAAGTTAATGAAATGTCATGGACCTATTGCTAATTATCCATATAGCCTTGGACAACTTACCTTGCCTTCCTAGGGCTCAATTTCCCTGTGTATAAAATGATAGGCTTGGACCTATGTCTCTTCTAGGTCTACCATTGCTTGCTTTCAGGGCTGGGACTTAGTGAAAGTGATGAAGGGAGGAAACAGTGAGAGCCTCTGCAGCTGGTCTAGGGGCACTGGAGGACCTGAGGACTGAGAGAGGGGGAAGGGCTTACGTGACCAACCTGTCCCTCTGACATCTCCAAGCAGCTGAGAGCCTTGGAACTCTGAAGCTCTATCAGCTCCCCTCCCCCTCACCATGATTGCATTTCTCTATGTGACATCTTAATAAATCACAGTGTATTTTGCAAGTGAAAATAATGTCCCAGTTAAGGCAAGCCTATTGAACCATAGTATGATTCTATCAGTGTGGTCCTGATTATAAAGTAAATGGGCATTGTTCTGAATGCTGAGTTAGTGAGTATGTGCTTTTTATGATAGTTCATGTTCTTGATGCTTGAGTTGAATTACCTTTTCATATTGAGGTTGACTGGATTTTCTCTTGGAAAGGTTCTAAGAGTAAGGCCATTAGCAGTCATTCACGAGGTTCCTACCAGAACTGAATGGTATATGACTCATGCAGAAACATTTATGAGTACTCACAGTCTTTTTTATAACTAAAGATAGCTCATGTGAACCAGGGAGTTGGGAAAGGCTGGTAGAGGAAAAATAGACCCAATCCATGGTACTCTACCTGTTTTGCCAAACTCCTGTCACCCAGGACAAACTCCTGTCACCCAGGAGTTTGCTCAATTTGAATCATTATTTTCTTCATAGTGCCAACTCACAGAGATGGCTTTAAATCCACAAAGTTTATCTTTCAGCATAATATAGGGCATAGTTCAGTTGTTAACCAAGAGAAAAATGTCTTAAATACAATTATATGAAGAATGATTACAAAAACATATATTATTTGGTTGGTTCTAAGAACAGATCTGTCGTAGAGAAGTAGCATAATGTAATTATTTTACAAAATGGCATGTACTCTTTCCAATTAAATTGTAGAACTCATTGTGTCTGCTGGTGATAACCTAATGATAACCTTACCCAACAATGAAGTTGAACTGAAGGCCTTTGTTGTGCCAGCGCCACCTGCAGGTGAGAATTTGACTTTTCTCTGTGACCCCTAGGAGCCAACAGAGCTGGGGTATTCTAAAGCAGATTTTGTTGTTGTTGTTATTGTTGTGCTGGCTTGGGGTACACTGGAGTATTTACAAAGGTTCTGATAATGTATCAAACATATCATACTGGAATTCACCCGCTTTTCTGTCAGAGCAGATCTTTACAGGTTATTTGCAACATTGAATCATTTTCACCACATTGGTCAATATTACAAGTGAAGGTTCTATGGTGGAAGACATTAAAGTTTATTGAAATAGTTTAAAATGAAATAAGAGCATAGGAAATTAAACACAGTGCTATCCTTTAATTGGTCAGGATGAAAAGTCATAATTTTTTAATGATGTAAAGTAGAACGTCGTATTAGAGAAGAAAAGGTCGCCATGTACCAGATCTTGATTTGAGATAATGCACGGAGCTGTATAAGATTCCATTGTGAAGAGAGGAGGTGACATGTGCCAGATTTGTGTTGACAACCCAGCTGTGAGGTTTTCAGAATACCTCACAGGAGCTCCAAAAATGTCCAGAATGCTCTTTTACCTGTTCAGTGCTCTATGGTCCAGTGAACATTTGCTATATCCCTATGGCCTGTCAAATGCACTCTTTCTTAAGGTAGACTCATTCTTAACATGTTTGATTAGTTCTCATTCAAGTCAGTTCCCTTATTCATTTTCTCCCTACCACATATAGGTTGAAATTTTATAAATAGAGATGGTAATATTTGACATTTGCATTTTAATCCTTTGAGATGAGAGACATCATACTTTACTAAGAAAGTTTTAGTTCAACCTAGAGATGTTTAATTCATTTTTGTGTTCTTAAACCTTCACGAAGATCAAATGAGTTGGAATCTATTTGCCTTTTTATTAAAATCTGAAAAAACACAATGGGTTGTACTATTAAAATTTATATGGGTAGCACCCTGGAAGGAAAGTCATCAAATGCTAATGGTGAGATTGGGGAAATTTTTAAAAACATTCTATGTTTTTTTGTAAGTTGTATGTTTTTATAATAAAAATACTTTACTTTAAAAAGATGTAGAGGCCTTGTTAGTCCATACTGGGATGATAGGTAAAAGTGGTTAGATAAGTGTATCTAAGGTAACTGATACTACTGGTTGAAGCTTATCTCCTTCCCTGCTGCCCAGGTTTTGAAGTGACCTCTTAGAATTGATAACTACTCATATTTCTTATTTGTTCTCAGAAACAGCCTACAAATATGAGTGGAGTTTAATAAGCCACCCTGTAGACTATCAAGGTGAAATAAAACAAGGACACATGCAAACTCTTAACCTTTCTCAAGTAAGTAATTGGTGAACTGGAGGCATGGCTCAACCATCCCCTGTATTGCCAAAAAAAGGAAGTAACTGGCTAATTGGAGATGAGTTGCATTTGACACCCTATAGAATCCACTAATATCATATTAGCTGTCAAGCCCAGAATTCTGTTTTATGATTAAGATTAAAAGATAAATCTGGGAACAGTGGTGCACACATTTCTAGACTCTGTTAGTTCGGAGGCTGAGCCAATAGGATTGCTTGAACCCAAATGTTCAAGGCCAGACTGGATAACATAGCAAAACCCCATCTTGTGAAAAAAATCAAAAGAAGGATATAAATAAAGTGCCAACCATGTAGGTAGACTGGCTAAGTCAAGAGGCTTTAAGGTGGCTTTTCTTCATTTGAGTTACTTGACATATCAGTCAGAGGAAAGAGACTGGTTGCTTGGCACATTGTGTGGTAGGGTTAAAAAAACCTGTGTTCTAACTCTTGCAGTCTTTGTAGTGTTAGACACATTGTAGTTAGCTAAATTCTCAATCTGGACATCTCTTAAAGGTTTTGAATAATTCCATTCCAGTTCACAAATTGCTTTGACTGCCAAATACTGCTCCAAGAGATAAGCACTTCACAAGAAGAAACATGCTCCCTTTGAGGCTCGTGAGGAGAAATAAACTGACTTAGCTGCCAGGGGTCTGGTTTCCTATCAGACTGTAATGTTGTCTTCATCTTCTGACACTACACAGCCCATGTCACATGAACTTACATCAGTCCCATATCATTGAGCTCCATTTCTCAAAGTGTGGCACCAACACTACTGCCAGCAGACTCTCAGAGCTACATGTTACAAATACCTGATTCCAGGTTGTGGGTGTAGCTCAGTGGTAGAGTGTTTCCCTAGCATGCATGAGGCCCTGAGTTCCATCCCTAGCAACACCATCAAAGCAAAAACGAAAAATAAAACACGCATGATTCCATCTACGCATATTTGAGAACTGCTTCCTTCTATTTCACTTCTAGTGAATATCTGTAACTAAGGTAAAGGCCTGTATAGGTGGCCTTTAGTGTTTCAGAGTGTAGGTCTCAGACATATAGCAGTCCTACACAGACCAAAATTAGACTTCTCTTGAACCCCTCCTCTTTGCCAACCTCAGAAGCACTGCCTCTTGGATATTTTAGTCTTTTCTTGGTAGTGGATCCTCATGTCCTTTGCCCCTTTAACTGTGTACCTTTTCTTTTTGCTGCAGTTGTCTGTAGGCCTTTATGCCTTCAGAGTGGCCGTTTCTAGTGAAAATGCCTTTGGAGAAGGATTTGTCAATGTCACCGTTAAGCCAGGTGAGTCTGTGTAAAGAATGGCCTCCTGTTGTACAGGTTGTCTCAAGTTTGGGAACCTGTATGACATGGCCAATATACTTTTTATTTTTACCTTAGGCTCCATGGTAGAGAAAACATGTAAGAATTATGTTCACATTTTTTTCTTCTTTCTGTATAAACTTAGTACTTGCTTGACATGGCTATTCAAGTCTACAAGGCAATTGCTTGGTGTTCTTGGGTGGTGACAAATTGAACCTTGGCCTTCTCTGTCTGACATTTACACCATCCACTCTTACTTCTACCTCCTTCCCTCATGATTCAGCTTTCACTTAGGAGCTACTCAAATGCACTCACCTGAGCTGCTCAGGAGGCAGGAAAAATGTATATTGTGAGTTTTCAAGCCCGTTAGTAGCCCATAGGTCAGTGTATTTTTGTCAATTAGACAGTGAGGACAAGAGTGAGATGTGCTAGGGGATCCTTGGCCCTGCAATGCCTGGCATCCAGTTTTGTATCACTAATTCCACTGTTTCCCCCAAATCCCGGCAGATACATTCATGCCACAAGTGAGAGCAAAACAGGTGACCCTTTGTGTAGGTAGGCACAGCCCAGGCTCAGTGAGTAGAACTTGCACTGGCTTTCAGCCTCCACTACCCCTCAGCCTGCACAGGTGGGCCTGCACCAACTCCACTTTCCAACTTTCCCCGAGGAGCAGATGGCTCTACCTTTGCACATTCCGTTGATTATTCTTATAACTGAAGCATGTGATTGTGGTGGATACCTTCAGTCAAAGATTTAAGATCCACTTTATCAGAGAAGCTGAATCAATGTGTCCTTTTCTGATATCACAGCTCATATTCTAATGCCATGTGCCGGGGCTTCTGTACAAAAATGTAAACTTACAGACAAGCTCACAAAATTCATAAGAAGGTTTTAAATTTTAATTTAACTTTTTTATTTTATTATTGTTGTGCTGGGGGTGCATTGTGACATTTTACAGAAGTTCTTACAATATATCATTGTTGAATTCACCCTCTCCATCATTCTCCTTTATTCCCCCTCCCTCCATTCCTGGAATAGTTTCAACAGGTCTCATTTTTCCATTTATATACATGTGTAAACAACATTTGCACCATATTCACCCTCCTACACCCTCTCCCCACATCCTCCCCCCACCCTTCTGGTTTTAAAAATTTTTAAAAAGTATTTTCCATTGTAAAGTCTGTGGGATGCTTCTGGTCAGTTTAGGGGAAGTGGATGATTTGGGGGGTATGACTTAACGTACATACAGTGTGGACTTAGTTGCTGTTCTTTTTTCTGTCACACAGCCAGAAGAATCAACCTGCCACCCATAGCAGTTGTTTCTCCTCAAACACAAGAGCTCACTCTGCCTTTGACATCAGCTCTTATCGACGGCAGCCGTGTGTATTTGTGATGCTTTATGGTTTCCCTGCTATGTCCTGCGAGATTTAATGGGCACTCTGTGTCAAGGCCAGGAGGACTAACGCACTGATAAATCATGTCTCCTTCAGCTTTGTATTAGAGTTCTTTAGGTTTTTCATCACTTCTTTGCCCAGCACTCTAGAGACTGAGGCAAGAGGAGTTACACAGCAAGACCTTGTCTCAAAAGAAAACTAGATGAAACAAACAAAACGTTCTTTAGGGCCCAACTATTTGATTCTTTTAATGTATGTAACATAAATAATTAGAAGTTAGAAAATCACTTTCAATAGCTGTGAGCAGGGTTATCTTCAGTGAGAGTAGGTATTTATTTGCTAATTTAATTCAGAGCTCATTCTTTCTAGTAGAATATTGGGGCCCTAGTGAAATTACAGGTGTCTACACAAAGGAAAATAGAATCAAAACATATCTTATGTTTGACTCAGTTCAACAATACCAATATTCAATATCAGTATCAATTACTCTGTAATTATGTTTCATGTACATTTAATCCCAGAGCTAATACCAAATCCTGTGGAGACTGAAGAATAGTTGTCTTGGTTGGTAGAAGAAAAGTTTCACCCACGAATACTGCTCCATTCTGCCAGGCTGTAAATGTGCAGAGGCCACATTGACATGACCGTTTGCATCTACTCATTGTAGACATCTGCATTTTCCTGCTGGCAACATGAAAATAAAGCACATTTTAAATGTAGATGTTTTTCTTCTGGCAGTACTTGGGTTTGAACTCAGGGCCCTGAACTAGCTAGGCAAGTGGTAGACTACTTGAACCACATCCCCAACCCTTTATTGCTTTAGTTATTTTGTAGATAGGGTCTTGGTGTTTTTGCCTGTGGCCAGCATTAGAGCATGATCTACTTTTGCCTCCTGCATTACTGGGCGACAGAGCGACCACGTGCAGCTTATTGGTCAGGATGGAATCTCGCTAACTCCTTGCCCTGGCTGACTTCAAACTGTGATCCTCCTGATCTCTGCCTCCTGGGTGGCTGGGATTGCAGGCTCGAATCATCACATCTGGCCTAAATGCAGATATATACATGAGAAGATGCCCCACAGTTTGATTCATATAATTCAGTATGATTTAGTTACAAAAAACTGTTTGGGATTATTAATCTGTTACACGAACTTGTTCTTTCCTTAAATGTTTTCAATGAAACTGGCTTCCTTCCAGGTCTAAATTTCCAGGATTCTACATGACACGTTTTGTTGTTTTCTTCTATTTTTATTTATTTGTTTGTTTATTTATTTCAATGGTAGTAGGGCTCAAGCTTAGAGCCTCAGACATGCTAGGCAAACCCTCTACCACTGAGCTACATCCCTCAGCCCTGTTTGCTCTCTTAAATGGGAAATTTACATGCAGGATCTGATCGTTCTCTGGATTTTCACCTTAATAATTAATGAAGTAAAAGGTGTTTCATAAGTTATAGATCAGTGACTCTTAACATCTTCATGAATCTGTCAGTTCATCTTTATGAATCTGTCTGACATATAAAATTGTCAGTAGGCTGTCACATGCTGTAGTCATGGTGAGTAGAAGTAGCATTTTGGCGTGCTGCTCTCTGTTCACTTCTGTTTTTTAAAAATCCACAGTACCTGTCATTGTGCTTCAAATGAGTGGGGTGACCTCACTCAAACCTGGTGCAAATCCAGGAGAAAAATGGTGATGTCTTTTTCTGATACATAATACATACCACTGAGAGCTGTGCAAGTATGTAATTTCATATAAAATGAGTTCAAATATGCAATGATATAAATTACAAAACTAATTTTTACTACTTTTACGTCTCATCCTAATTTTTATTTTTTAAATCTTGTAGAAAGTACAGATGATACTAACATCGTGAGCTATCACTGGGAAGAGGTTAATGGGCCCTTCATAGAAAAGAACACCTCACTTGACTCCCCATCTTGCACTTGTCTAACCTTGGTCCTGGAAACTACACTTTCAGGTAAGCGGGTCCCCCTTTATTGTGATTTTCACTATGTAAGATTTTTACTATTTCCTTAAATTGATATCTAAGCAACACTGTGCTTTTCATTTTGATCAAGAGGCAAGGCTGATATGGTCTTCTTGGGGGTTTTGAGTGCCTGTTGCTATAAACTCCGATATGCCCATCAATTCATGTGAAGTATAAATGTCTGTTTTCTAGAAATAATTGTTTGGGTTTCTGATACTACTATGGGGACAGCATCTTTTTTTAAATTATTATTCTTTTATTCACATATGTATACATCGTTTGGGTCATTTCTCTCCCCGCCCCCCTCCCCCACCTTCTCTGCCTTTCCCCCCTCAGTTCCAGGCAGGTTGTGTTCTGCCTTTATCACTAGTTTTGTTGAGGAAAAGAGACAAGCATAATAAGGAAGACAAAGCGTTTTTGCTAGTTGAGTTGAGGATAGCTATACAGAAATATTCCTAGCATTGCTTTCATGTACACGTGTTATGACCCATGTTGATTCATCTCTAACTGATCTTTACCTTGGTTACTGATCCTCTTCTCATTATAATCTCTGTTGCTTTAAGTTTCTTTATTAGCTTCTCTGGAGTGGAAACATGAAAGGCTTTCATGTTTTGGGTTTTCTGCTTATTTCTATATCACCCAAATGTGCTTTCCCCTTATCATGTGATCCAAGTTGACCACATTGCTGCATTTGCCCTAGATCTAAAGTCCACATATGAGGGAGAACATACGATTTTTGGTCTTCTGAGCTTGGCTGACCTCACTCAGAATGATGTTCTCCAGTTCCATCCATTTACCTGTAAATGATAAGATTTCATTCTTCTTCATCGCTGAGTAAAATTCCATTGCGTACAAGTACCACATTTTCTTGATCCATTCATCAATAGTGGGGCATCTTGGTTGTTTCCATAACTTTGCTATTGTGAATAGCACCGCAATAAACATGGGTATGCAGGTGCCTTTGGAGTAATCTGTGTTGTATTTCTTTGGGTATATCCCCACGAGGGGGATTGCTGGATCATATGGCAGGTCTATGTTTAGATTTTTAAGGAGTCTCCAAATTTTTTTCCAGAGTGGTTGCACCAACTTGCATTCCCACCAGCAGTGGATTAGGGTTCCTTTTTCCCCACATCCTCGCCAACACATGTTGGTGGTGGTGTTTTTGATGATGGCTATTCTAACGGGGTGAGGTGGAATCTTAGTGTGGTTTTGATTTGCATTTCTTTTATGGCTAGAGATGATGAGCATTTTTTCATGTGTTTTTTGGCCATTTGAATTTCTTCTTTTGAGAAAGTTCTATTAAGTTCAGTTGCCCATTTTTTAATTAGTTCATTGATTTTAGGAGAGTTTAGTTTCTTAAGTTCACTGTATATTCTGGTTAACAGTCCCTTGTCTGATGTGTAGCTGGCAAATATTTTCTCCCACTCTGTGGGTGGTCTCTGCAGTTTAGAGACCATTTCTTTTGTTGTGCAGAAGCTTTTTAATTTTATGCAGTCCCATTTGTCCATCCTTTCTCTTAGTTGCTGGGCTGCTGGGGTTCTATTGAGGAAGTCTTTGCCTATACCTATTATATCCAGAGTGTTTCCTGCTCCTTCCTGTAGTAGCTTCAGAGTTTTAGGTCTGATATTTAGGTCCTTGATCCATTTTGAGTTGATACTAGTACAGGGTGATAGACATGGATCTAGTTTCAGTTTCTTGCAGATGGGTATCCCAGCAACATTTGTTGAAGAGGCTGTCTTTTCTCCATTGTATATTTTTGGCACCTTTGTCAAAAATGAGGTGGGTATAGTTGTGTGGATTCATATCTGAGTCCTCTATTCTGTTCCACTGGTCTTCATGTCTGTTTTTATGCCGGTACCATGCTGTTTTTATTGCTATTACTTTGTAATATAGTTTGAAGTCGGGTATTGTGATACCTCCAGCATTGCTCTTTTTTACTGAGTGTTGCCTTGGCTATTCGTGGTCTCTTGTGTTTCCAAATGAACTTTAGAGTAGATTTTTCAATCTCTGTGATGAATGTCATTAGGATTTTGATGGGAATTGCATTAAACACGTAGATTGCTTTCAGTAGTATAGCCGTTTTTACTATGTTGATTCTACCAGTCCATGAGCATGGGACAGCTTTCCATCTTCTGTAATCTTCCTCAATCTCTATCTTCAGGAGTTTGTAATTCTCCTTGTAGAGTTCATTCACATCTTTTGTTAAATTTACTCCTAGGTATTTGATTTTTTGGGAGGGCTATTGTGAATGGAATTGTTTCCATATATTCCTTCTCAGTTTGTTCGTTGTTGGTGTATAGAAAAACTAATGATTTTTGTTGGTTGATTTTGTATCCTGCCACCTTTCTGTAGCTGTTTATGGTGTCTAAGAGTTTTTGGGTGGAGTTTTTTGGGTCTTTAAGGTATAGGATCATATCATCTGCAAATAAGGATATTTTGACAGTTTCTTTACCTATTTGTATTCCTTTTATTTCTTCTTCTTGCCTAATTGCACTGGCTAGGAATTCCAGTACTATGTTGAATAGGAGTGGGGATAGTGGACACCCTTGTCTTGTTCCTGATTTTAAGGGAAATGGTTTCAGTTTTTTACCATTAATGTTGGCTGTAGGTTTGTCATAAATAGCCTTTACAATGTTGAAGTACATCCCTTCTATTCCTAGTTTTCTTGGAGCTTTTATCATGAAGTGGTGTTGGATCTTGTCAAAGGCTTTTTCTGCATCTATTGAGATGATCAAGTGGTTTTTGTCTTTGCTTCTATTAATGTGCTGTATTACATTTATAGATTTGCATATGTTGAACCATCCCTGCATCCCTGGGATGAAGCCAACTTGGTCATGGTGTATGATCTTTCTAATGTGTTGTTGGATTCAGTTTGCCATTATTTTATTAAGGATTTTTGCATCAATATTCATTAAGGAAATTGGCCTATAATTCTCCTTTTTGGAGGTGTCTTTGTCTGGTTTTGGGATGAGGGTAATATTGGCTTCATAGAATGAGTTAGGCAGTTTTCCTTCCCTTTCTATTTCATGGAACAGTTTAAGGAGAGTTGGTATTAGTTGTTCTTTGAATGTCTGATAGAATTCAGCAGAGAATCCATTGGGTCCTGGACTTTTCTTTTTTGGGAGACTCTTGATTGCTGCTTTAATTTCTTTTTGTGTTATAGATCTATTCAGGTGGTTAATATCTTCTTGGTTCAGTTTTGGGTGGTTGTAAGTTTCTAGAAATCTGTCCATTTCTTCAAGATTTTCAAATTTATTAGAGTGTAGGTTCTCAAAGTAATCTCTGATGATTTCCTGGATTTCCATGGTGTTTGTTGTTATCTTCCCTTTTGTGTTTCTGATTTTACTGATTTGGGTTTTTTCTCTCCTCATTTTAGTCAGGTTTGCCAGGGGTCTGTCAATATTATTTATTTTTTCAAAGAACCAGCTTTTTGTTTCATTGATTCTTTGTATGTTTTTATTTTGGTTTCTAGTTCATTGATTTCAGCCCTTATTTTAATTATTTCTTTCCTTCTGCTTGTTTTGGGATTTGCTTGTTCTTGTTTTTCTAGGAGTTTGAGATGTATCATTAGGTCATTGATTTGAGATCTTTCTGTCCTTTTAATATATGCACTCATGGCTATATACTTTCCTTTTAGGACTGCCTTTGCTGTGTCCCATAGGTTCTGGTAGGTCATGTTTTCATTTTCATTGACTTCCAGGAACATTTTAATTTCCTCTTTCATTTCATTGATGACCCATTCATCATTTAGCAATGTGTTGTTCAGCTTCCAATTGTTTACAAGTATTTTACTGCTGTTTTTGTTGTTGATTTCTAGTTTTAATGCATTGTGGTCAGATACAATGCATGGGATTATTTCTATTTTCTTATATTTGCTGAGACTTGCTTTGTGTCCTAAGATATGATCAATTTTTGAGAAGGTTCCATGGGCTGCTGAGAAGAATGTGTATCATGCAGAAGTTGGATGAAATATTCTGTAGACATCAACTAGGTCCATTTGATCTGTGGTGTGGTTTAGTTCCAGAATTTCTTTATTGATTTTTTGTTTGGATGACCTATCTATTGGTGATAGAGGAGTATTAAGGCCTCCCGCTATCACTGTGTTGGAGTTTATATATGTTTTTAGGTCCTTCAGAGTATGTTTGATGAAATTGGGTGCGTTGACATTGGGTGCATATAGGTTGATAATTGTTATTTCCTTTTGGTGTATTTCCCCTTTTATTAGTATGGAGTGTCCTTCTTTATCTCGTTTGATCAGTGTAGGTTTGAAGTCTATTTTGTCCGAGATAAGTATGGCTACTCCTGCCTGTTTTGGGGGACCATTGGCTTGGTAAATCTTCTTCCAGCCTTTCACTTTCAGCCAGTGCTTATTTCTGTCAATGAGGTGGGTCTCCTGTAGGCAACAGATTGTTAGATCTCCTTTTTTAATCCAGTTTGCCAGTCAGTGTCTTTTAATGGGGAAATGTAGTCCATTAACATTCAGTGTTATTATTGATAAGTATGTGCTGATCCCTGTCATGTAGTTGTCTTTGTTGATTAAGAGTTTGATTATGTGTAGCTGAAACAATGTTACTCTTTACTTTCTTGCCTTTTCTTCTGCTGTGGTTTGGTATTGCCTGCCCTTTCATTGTTTTGTTTGCCTTCATTATCTGTATGCAGAATTCCTTAGAGAATCTTTTGTATTGGTGGTTTGATGGTCATATATTGTTTTAATTTCTGCTTATCATGGAAGATTTTTATTGTTCCATCTATTTTGAATGATAGTTTTGCTGGGTAAAGTATCCTAGGATTGAAGCTATTTTCATTCAATGCTTGGAAGATCTCACTCCATGCTCTTCTTGCTTTTAATGTTTCTGTTGAGAAGTCTGCTGTGATTTTGATGGGTTTACCTTTGTATGTTGTTTTTTCTCTCTTATAGCCTTCAATATTCTTTCTCTAGTCTCTGTATTTGTTGTTTTAATGATGATATGTCATAGGGTAGCTCTATTTTG